AGGGGCCATGCTGCGCTGGGAGTTGAGGTCCTAAGGTTCTCATGGCAGTTTACTGGCCCACTTTGCGGTAGACTTCTTTTTCAACTTGGTGACTGACCCTCTCCCAACGTTTCCCTTGCCTCTCCCCTCGCACTCAACAGCCAGGAAATGGACAACAAGGAGGGCTCGCATAGCTCATACTAGTGCCTAATGGGGCTGCGTTCATAAGCAGCAAGTAACCGGCACAAACTGCATTGTTCACCCCAAAGCCTGCAGTAGCCCACGACCAGGTACAACCCGGTCACCCAGCCCAAGTCTTTGGACGCTGCTGCAGCTGCTGCTACGCTAGCAACTTGCGGGCAACTTGCATGTGGCCTGTGCTTTCCCGCGATGGCAAATCATGCTCGAGTCGTGTCATTACAGTTCTAGACTGGCATTTGTCCTGCCTAGCAAAGGAGGCTGTCAACTGTTGGCTGCATAGCTGCTAGCCAAGGTCCAGTGGCAAGGTGTTAAACGCTTTAGGTGTTCATCCTTAATACCAAGCACAAGTGGCAGGATTGCAGCATGTCCATCATTGCAGCATCTCACTCTCACACTCCAAGCCTTGCGTCCATGGGCTTGTATTGGTTGCGTAAGGGCAGCCCGCTTTGAACTACGATCTGGTAGTTCCAAACTTTGAGTTTCCACTTCCAAAGCAGGTTTGGAGGCTCTGAGTTTTTTAGCTCTGGCACTTGCAAACAGGCCCAGCCCTGGCACGTGGGCTTCGGATTGAAATTAAAGGTTGAACTTGGGGCCCCTCACTTATGCAAGTTTCCCCTCATCTTTGGAATGAGTGAGTGCAATCCAGAGGTGGCTTGATTGTCCCACCCCCACATGATAGCTTGGTCTTGGGCTGGCAGGAGTTAGCCGTTCTTGCGCTTGTTCAATTTGGCAGTAACATTGAAACGCAGCATTGCACAGCAACTGTTCCATTTGGTGATTAGCACACTGACTGGCTGTAGCGATCCATTTTGGCATCAACTGCAATAAGATGAAGGCCAGCTCTGCCTGCGCTTCTTCCAGCATTGGCGCTGCTCACAAGCTTTGGTTCCACTTGTCACAAGCTTGTCACCAGTCCTGCTGCTTGGAAGCCACTCTCTCGTGCGCCAGGCTCTGGCAGAGAGACTTTGCAGCATTTTGGCTGAGGCGGGCGGGTTTAGAGCCCCTCAATTTGTTACCTCGGCTGTTAATTGTAAATTGTTGGGGCTGCTCACTCCCACAACGCAAGAAGACAATCCAGTACCCACATTGTAACTATTGTTTGGGGGTGCGCCTGCCAGTCAAACATTCAACTTTTGCGGCGCGAGCAATATGCTGTTGCTCCAGAAGTGAGTACTCAAAACTCATGTTGGCGATATGTTTCCATGCACCAACAGTCGTAGGCTTGAGCAGCAAACCAGTACAGATGACAAGTTCCAAGCCCACCAGCAACATTGTTGTTTTACATACTTTTTACTACTGCTCCGAGAAAGAACTCCTTCATCCATCTGTTGGCCAGCCATCCTTGACAGTGTCAGCCTGTGAGGCACATGAAGTCTGATGCAGTCTGTGTTTTAATTGCTGTACAGCCCGCCCGAGGCCCAGGAAAAAGAAGCTTTCCATGATCGGGTCTTACAGTCGGGCGGGCTAGGCACATCAACTTTTTGAAATGTGTTTCGTGCCTATGTGGCAAGACCGGGTCACAACAGGGTCACATCACCTCCATGTTTAGCTTGTGTTTAACGATTTGAACCATGCTGCAGCGGGGCAGCAAGGAAAACAAGGAAGTGAGGCAGCAGAAAGGCAGGGACAAGCCAGGAGCAAGGCAGGAGCTGGGAGCCACTTGTCAAAATTTCTGCCCTATCACACAAAGTTGACTCTGGGAGGTTGGGGGGGGGGCTCCCCCACGCGTGCAAAGGTGTGCTGTAGGGGCAACCCAAAAAAAGCTGGGAGTTTGCCTTTTCAACCACCCTAGCACTGTTCAAAAGCAGCCTAGTGACAATGCCTCGCATCACAGACTCCTAAGACCCGATCATGGAAAGCTTCTTTTCCTGGCCCACTTGAGGTTCATCCATCACACAAAACTCGACTTTGGGGGGAGGGCGCTCAAAAACAATTTGATGATAACGCCACATCATTAACTCCTAAAACAAAGCAGCATGGAAAGCTTCTTTTCCTGGTTTTCCTTCTTGCGGTTCATCTCATTACAAGGGGGGTGATGACAAATAATAAGCTTAAAGGAACAGCGTCAAAGGCTTGAAGCACTTGTGGGGTTGATGGTGGGCGGCGTGCGCCAACTAGAGCAGTTGGGCTACCTGAAGTCATTAAAACTTGGTTCTCGGATGATGCTTTTTCGTGGTTGTAGCGCCCCAAAGGCCCAGAATCTTTGACTGACACAGCTTAAAGCCACTCGGGCGGGGCGGCTACTGGGCTGCACAGCAATTAAAACATGGACTGCATCAGACTTCATGCGGCGGCCTCGCTGACACTGCACATGAAGCTTAAATGTCAACGGGCCAAGGCCAGGGCCAGGATTCAGCCAGGGCGGCAAAAGTCATTAGCATTTTGTCACACATGTCTTCATGCATGTCAGCCATGCAGCAGTACATACTTTTGGCCAAAGAAGTTCTGCTTGTGGCTTCAGCATGTTTGAGCACTGGCTGCAAGACTCATGACTCCAACATCACTTTTTGTCAGTGTTGGGTTGCCCAACTTGGCCAAACTCATTGCAACCCTACGCCCCCAAAGCCCCCTCTCTAACCAACAGATGTTCTTCTGCGAGCCAGCCAACAAGCGCCGCTCAGCCGCCATGCCAGACCAAAAAAGCCGAGCTCGCCCGTCTGACTTGTCGTATACGACTCACACGCCTTGGCCAAGCTTTTACCTGCCTTTCCTGCTACAAGCGCTCGCGTGGCACGGTGGTCCGCGCTTTTGTTAAGGACTTTCTGCCCCAGTCGCCCCTCCCTGCTTGCGAGCTGGGTTCCTGCAATCACTGCTGCGCGTGATTGTTCACGCCGCGTTTTTCCGCAAGTCAACCCCCGTTTTTGCGCCCTTAAATGACAGAGGTTTGATCCAAAAGCCAAATCTTTCAACAACTCACAGAAGAGATAGAAAAGTAATGGAATACTTACAAAACAGCAACGAAATCCATCTTTTCAGCAAGTTCTTTTCATCCCCTGAGTAAGTTGTAACTCTCTTACGTTCCGGAGCCAAGCTGGTAAATGTCAAGGCGCGCGTGCGTGAGCGTGTGCGCCCGTGCGCTCGTGCGTGTGGGCCTGCGCGAACACACGCGTGCATGTGTGTGTGTGTGTGTCTGCGTGTCTGCGTGTCTGTGTGTGTGTGTGTGCGCGTGCTTGTCTCCCTTTGCAATCCGATTCTGGGGGTCGACCAATTACCACGAACTAGGAACACGGCTCATATTCCGCCGTGAGTCAAAACAGGATTTCAGTAGCACAAGTCAAGAATAACACGTGTTTTCCATGGGAAATCCCAATGAACCGAAGCCTTAAGTGAGTCCACCCCAAGCAGGGTTACTGTTTTCGTTGGTTTTAATGAAAACAAGTGTTTTGTTCCTCGTGAAGTACTTTCAAACCAGAACGATGCGCTATTTTTTGCCAATCAAACACCGACCGCGGTCCTTGTCACAGCAGAGCCTCCAGGGCAAGCAAAAACTCGCTAGGGCTTTGAGCATCCAGCGTCTGCTGGCCAGTTCCACTGGAACACCTGCTGCTTCACTGCAGGGTGGAGCGGGTGTGCTTACCGTCAGGCTGGCATAGATACAGTACTGAGCGGGCGCGCAAGAGCGGGTGTTCTTACTATCTGGCCGGCATGGGTACAGCGCTGAACGGGTGCGCGCGGGTGTTCTTACCATTTGGCTGCTGAGCGGGTGCGTGTAAGCGGGTGTTCGTACCAGTGTGTGCAGTGCTGCGCGGGTGCGCGAGCGGGTGTTCTTACCGTCTGGCTGGCATGGATACAGTACTGAGCGGGTGCGCAAGAGCGGGTGTTCTTACAATTTGTCTGGCATCGTGCAGTGCTGAGCAATGCGCGTGAGCGGGTGTTCTTACCATTTGGCAGGCATGTGTGCAGTGCTGAGCGGGTGCGTGTGAGCGGGTGTTCTTACCATTTGGCTGGCATGTGCGCAGAGCCGAGCGGGTGCGCGTGGGCGGGTGTTCTTACCATTTGGCTGGCATGGGTACAGTACTCCGCGGGTGCGCGTGAGCGGGTGTTCTTACCATTTGGCTGGCACTGGTACAGTGCTGAAATACCACTGTTTGCAGCTGCCCGAAGGGGTAAAAACAAACGAAATTGCATTTTGGTCCACGGCCGTGGGCCAACTACTCACATTTTGTTTTCAACGCTGTACACCTATTCAAACAGAGTCTGTCTGGGTATGTTAGTTTGAACGGCTTGCAAGCCGTGCTGATCACCTGAAACACGCCCCAATCAACGTCCCATTTGGTCCACGCAGCCGCCCCTGCCACTGCCCTCCACGCGCCGCCGCCTGGCCTCTCTCCACGAGGTGACAGGCGTCTTATTGTTGCGTAAGACAAAACCCATAGTTTTGAAAAAGAGTGCGTTTGCCTCGCCGATTACTTCTGACTGCTTTTTCGAGCCGAATCGAGATTTGAGCCACGTGCCACACATCTGAGTGAATTGCAAAACCACCAATATGTAACTAAACCTGCATCATGAGAGTTGCAAACCAAAACTTGGGCGAGGTCAGTCAAAAAACTGCCCAAACCAGCTGTGCCGTGTGGGTCTTGGCAGCCTTGGGGGCCGGGCGCACACTGAATGGCAAGTTGCCGACCCGTCACAAGCACCAGAAATTGTTGACATGCTGCAAAAAGTGTTGCCCCTACAATGCGACATGTGTCCCAAGTCTTCCAAGTCAAGGACTTTGCTCTGCTTGGAACCGTCTGGCAGTTTACTTTGCAGGGAATCTTGCGCTTCCTGACGGGGCCGCTGGGCAAATCAAGGCGGCCAATCAGCGCAGTGCCTTTTTTAAAGCGTCAACTAATGTCTCTTGCTGCGCCTTCATCCGGCATGAAGACATAATTCTGATGAAGGTCTTGATCCTCCTGGCAATGTTGCACTCTTGCCCGTGCTGCAGATTCCGCTTACAATTTATCATAACGCGCTTGCGTTTCAGTTGGTCTTCCAAATGTTTTGGTGCTGACACAGTTGCGTGACTCATAGAGAATGGCGCGCCGCCCATGCCCATGCCCGCCTGGTAAGAGTAGCAACGGGCGCCGCGCCGACTCAGTTTTCTAGTCATCAAGCTCGCCGGCTGCAGGAATGCAAATCGCATTGGTCGCGCGTGCGCCGCGCTTTGTTTTTGCACCCTGTCCGTGTACACATCAGCGGCCAGACGAGGCGACCGAGATGCGTCTTGAAACGAAAGAGAAGCAGCCGAGTTGAAAAGCAAATTCCAACTCTCCATGTTCTCCCTGTTTGCGCCCCCCGCCACGGAAAGAAGACGTTTCCAGCAAGAACAAGGCATGCAGATGATGTTTTGCCGCGCTTTTCCGCCGTTCACGCTGCTTTGACGGGACGCCGCATCCCAAAATGTTCCGTGCCCGTCAACAGCTGCGAGGAAGCGGCCCTTTGCTGTTTGTTGCCGATGCTGGTGCTCCGGGTTTCGTGCCGGATCTTGAGCCAGTTGTTCTGGCATTCGCCACATGTCAAATCGTGGAGATCAAACAGAACAGGAACACCCAGCTGGGACAGCGGGCAACTGCCACAGGGTTCCCCGAAAGAGCAACCCCCAAAAGAGCAACCTTTATCATGATAGAGGGCCGGGGACAAACCCGCAATAGGTGAGGCCACGGTAATTTCTCCAGAAACATTACATGGACAATGGGCAAGTAGTCTGTAAGCATGGTCGGCTGGCAGGTTTTGTGGAAAACGCATCGATAAAACTCTCACTGCACATCTGCGCCCTCCCCCCCCCCCAAGATTGAGTTTGAAACCCGCAAAGCAAAACGACAAAGGCGGTCATTTTCATGCCCCTGCCCCCAGTTCTCTGCCTTCACTCAAAAACAGCACGTTCGGTCCTGCGCAAAGCGCGATGGCACCCAAACCTGCGGCGCTAGAGGTAACTTTGCTGGTTCCGCCCTGCGTGGCGCCCCTGACGGCCGTAGCACTAATTCCGTGGACCCGCTTAAGCTCAAAGGCTCGCTCGCGGAAAAAACTGGAACGGCGAGGCCGAGTAGGCGGATAAAACTTTCTGCCGGCCCCCAGCGGAATAAGGGTATTTTCATACCCCTGTTTGCGTGTGTCCGCGTGTCGCGTTGACTCGATCAGTCCAGGTCACCCAGACTCCGTCGGAGAAACAGAAATCAAGGAGTGACAGTCCATAGGGCTGTCAATTTCAATTCAGATTAGATTCCATTGTCCAGGCAAGGCCAGCCTTCAGACCCGGAGGTCTCCACTGTCTTGCTCTGGTCCTGCAAGTGGAGAAAGAGCAGCTCGGGAGCAAGATCCATCTTCGGGTGAAGCCATCGTGCGCAGAGACCCGCTTTTGTAAGTCAAAGCCGGCAAAGTCCACCCGAGTCAGCTCCCCCCAGACATTGGAACATCTCTTGACATGGTGGAGAGGTGCAAAGACCGATCTGTACTTCGAGGCGGTGGGCCTGCCGTGAACATGAAGAGCAGAGAGGAGCCTCACACCGTCTGCAAGCCCTTCCCGTCCTGGGTGACTTCAAGGTGACGAAGCGTTGGCCATATATGGTCCTTCTCGAATCTAGGCCTTGCCAATGCGGACCCTCTGCCTGATGCGCCCACCCCAAGTGCTTGAGGTTTGCAACTTGGTGGACTCTATGCGCGGCGGGGCCCCCTCCTTTGCACATGAGTCTGGAGGACACACACACACGCATGTCCATGTAGGTACCTAGCACGGGATGGGTTCCTGCGCCACCAGCATTTCCAAACGGTTGGGGGTGAGCAGACGGTCGGACAAGCTGGGCTCAGCGGCAAGCAGCCGGATCTGTCCAATCTGTCCAAGCTGTCCGATCCGTCCGAGCTGTCGACCCGTGTCCAATCTGTCCCGATCCGGAGCCGTTCGAGACAGTCCGCCCATTGCTGAGCAAAACACACCGCAAATGGGCCATCCCGCAGAACTAACATCAACAGCACCCCATCGCTGGCTACACAGGGAGAAGACACATGACGATAGAATGGCAGAAAGGAGGGTGGTTCATTTGGAAGCCGTGCAAAGCAAATGAGCCCCAGTGAGCCCCACTGCCGCCACATAACCAAAATCACCAGCATGCCCAGCATCACCCACATCGCGAAAACACGTGGCGGGAGGATGGCCAAACAGAGGGGTCCGCCGCACGGGCAAACCGCAAGCCCCAACATCAGCGTCGCAGAACTAACATCACCAGCATCCTTCGTATCACTTGCTCTGGCTAGGAGGGCAAAGACACATGACAATAGGATGGCCAAAACGAGGGTGGTTCATTTGTATGGGTTGTTCATTTGGGTCAAGGGAAGAATCCACCGCAAATGAGCCACCCCCCGGCACCGCCACCGCAGAACCAGCATCACCAGCATCCCCGTATCACACTACACTTGCTACCTGGGGCGAAACAACCACCGCTCACCAACATACCCCCAAAAAACCACATGCGTCGCTGGCTATGCGAAGACACATGACAATAAAATGGCCGCAAGGAAGCCTGCCTCACTGGCTACCAAAGACGCTTGGGTCGCCCAACAGCCGCCACAAAACTAGTGCCCAGCATCACCTACATCGCTGGCTTCCAAGGGCCAGACAACATGCAGGAAAAACACCCACCGCATATCAGCCGCCCCACGCCGCATCACCAGCATGCCCAGCATCACCAAGGAAAATCCACCGCGAATAAGCAACCCCCCGCCCCCTGCCGCCACGTAACTAACATCACCAGCATGCGCAGCATCACCTACATCGCTGGCTGCCAGGTGAGCGTACGATTGGAGGATGAAACACTCGGTCCTGTCGGAGTCTGCTGCCCAAGCCCAATCTGTCCGCTCAGCCCCATCACCGAGTCTGTTTTCTACTTAGTAACCTTGCCGAACATCCAAGATTCGTCTGATCCGTCTGTCCGTGTGACTTTGACATCTATGTGATTGCAGCTGTCAAGGTTGGAGGCCGGTTTGGGCGCGAAGCTGTGATAATAGCATTTGACTGTGTCTGCTGTTGACTGGTTGGACTGATCACAGATGTAGCTATGCGTGCAGTTCTTGCCCGGCGCACTTAGCTAAGTGCGTTTGGCGAACATCGCCGCAAGCTTGTAGGACTAGGGTTGCTGCAACTGGTGAATCAGGGGGTTGACCCAATCTTGAATGACATCCTGGTAAGCATCCCTCACAAAAAACAACCCCAATGCCCTCAAAGCCCCAAGATTGGGATGGCCCGCTGGGCCCGGCCACAGCGCGAGCTGGTGCGCGCATCCGGGCACGAACGGCAGAGGGCCAGCAGGCCGGCGCGCTGTGTCACAAGAAGCTCTGATATCGGGTCGGGAATCCCTACTCCAGACGATCATTTCGCTCGAACACTGGCCATGCAGTATGAGCCGACGCCGTTGGAACAGGATGCGCCGTTGGACGAAGACCTGCAGTTTGCGGCCGCAGTGGTGGCAACACGCAGGGGGGACCTGCGCGCCATCCGCCGAAGGGCCATGGGAGCAGTCAAGGAGTTGAAGCAACGCTGTCAGGAGCCGGCCTTGCACGTAGTCATGTCCCAGAGAGACATTGGCCTGCTCGGGAGAATGCCAAGGATGAGGGAGAAGTGGGCCCCAATGCTGAAGTTGGAGGAGAACACCGGGCTGCATTAAAAACCCTCACATCAACTCGGAGGCCATGTTACCTACTGCCACCAGGGGATAGACTACACCCGCCCGCTCACCCGCAACTGCGCGCGCGCGCGTGCGCGCGTCCGTGCGTACGCGGGAGCGCCCTCGTGCGCGGCGCCCCGCACGAGCGGGAACCCAGAGCCAATCAGACTAAGACTGCGTCCCCGGCATCCACTTTAAGCCCCGTAGAAACCCGGGAGAAATGACAACAAAACACGGTATGTGCGATGCTTTCTACATAGTGGCGCCGCCCCGCGTGCGCAGAAACCCCGCCCACCGTCCGCCCCCTGCCAAAATCTACTCTTAGGGGGCCATCTTGAGCGCTGCATAAAATACAAGGGATGCAAGGGATGCTGGAAAGCTGAGATGCTGGTGATGCAGGAATGCTGGAGATGCTGGTGAAGTTGGCGAGGAAGCAGAGGATGTTGGAGGGCATGCTGGCGACTGCGGGAGAGTGTTTCTTGAGTTTAGGCAAAATGGCATCAGGAGCCAATCGCAAGGCCGGGGATGCCGTGGATGTTTTGGGGCCCAAATGTATGAGGGGGCGCTTGGGGTGCAACAAAACACGTCAGCGGTACACCCTATGGGTAGCCCTCGCTCATCAGGCTCAAGGACACACAGCGCAGCTGGACCTCAGACGGCGGACTTGGCAAGCGCACCTGGCGAACTTTGCTGACTTTGGCGCACTTAGCGTGCTGCTTTTTGTGCACGTGCTACACTTGGCGCGCTTGCCAAGTACGCCTCGGCCAACATAGAGAGCTCGCCTCAAACACGTTACTAAGTACGCCCAGCGGGATGCTCAGGAATACCGAGAGGCTGCTTCAAAGCGCCGACCTGTGTTCCTCCCCGGACTGATGGACTGGCGCTATGTTAACACTGAAGAGGATCAGGCGGACGTTCGGCCCGGCTCCGGAATGTTGAAATGCTCACACAGGGGTTTTACATGGTCAACGAAGGCCGTATAGGCGCGTCAAGCTCCAGCTGCTCAGGCGAAATCGTCTGGGGCGTGGCGCGCCAAAGCATGCTCATGTAGACTAGTTAGCTGCCATGAGGCTTGTGGAAAGCCCGAGCTGGAGCGTACGCAGAACCGGGCAAAGCTTGCGTGAATAAGATTGGTTGTTTCCCTGAAGGCCTTCATGGACCTCGATGGTTTGTGTGACGAGCGTGGGACAAAAGAGCATTGGTCACTGAGGGAGCACCTTGAAAGTCGCACAGGTGCACTTGGTTGTTGTTTGTGTCTGAACGTGTGTTTTAAAGACTCCACTCGCAGAAGCCGGCAGTCCCACCTCATGTAATCTAGGAGGCAAGTCCGGCGTACCTCCAGGAGGAACCCATTACAGCTTTTCACTTTCCCGTGGCAAATCCGATATATTCGGACAATCGCAACCACGGCAACCCCGGGAAGCGGCTGCAACCAAAGTGCGAAGAGCGGCAGCTTGCTCTTGGGCAGCGCCTGGCAACGCATTCTGTTTGCGCAAGTTTTACGCCCCCTTGGCCACTTGAAACTGACACGATTCAAAAAGCTTTTAACCTTCAATCAGGGCCAAAAACGGCTCCTTTTCACCACTCAACCAAAAGGGGCCAACCCCAGACTACTTTCTTGATGCCTTCTTTCCCAAAAAATGCCACAACGTGGCGCCACCAGGATTGGCGGGGTCGCTGGCAGTTTGTGGGGTTGGATTCCATTAAGGACTTACTTTGGCCAGGCCACGGTACCCCATATCACATGCTGCAGCACACGTTTCACCTTCAAGAAGCGCACGTTATATGTTCAACAGAGGCACCCACACCCAGCGCAATTTCCAGCGTTGAGCAAGATACGCAACATCGAACAATAGGGACTGCAAGCAAAACAAGAGGCAACAAGTAAACACAGAAAGAAACCGAGAAACCAACTGAGATACCAAATGGGAAACCAAAAACTGTATTTCAACAATCCCCACTAAGAAAAAAGCCTGGCTAAGCTGCTCTACAACCACACAGACACCACAAACTCAATGCGACTGCGAGCAGATTTAGCTGGCTTGTGCGACCGCAAAACAATCAGCGAGCAAAGCAGCGTTGATCCCCTAATCAACATCAGCCTTGCCCGTTCCGGGGCGCCCATGTTCTGACTTGCGACCTGCGAATCACTTGCGACCTCCTCCATCACTTGCGACCTGCCCGCGTTATCATTCCACGGGGTGGCGGGGCGGGTGGGGAGCCAAGTCTCCTCTTTTTGTCCGGGGGGGGGCACACAACTGCTTCAGCCCAGTCTTCTCTTTTTCGGGCGGCGGGGGGGGGTTGGGAGGGCATGATAAGCACATCCAGCCCAGCCTGCTCTGTAACACCCGCTCAACTGCTTGAGACTTTTCCGCGGCCAGAAAGAGCTTTCGACTTCATTTGAATTTGGACACTTGAGCTTCGTTCACCAAATGGGAAGGTACCCCTTGCCTCCCCTTGCCTCCTTCAAATCAAGGCGCAGGCGCCCCGAAAAGCCTACGCAACACCAGGCGCGTGGAGAACATGGCGTGGGTGTGTTGGTAGGTGCTGGGTCTGCGGGTGGGTACGTGCCTGGGTGCGTGGGCACACGGGCGCCGGTGTGAGCACGTGGGCGCGTGAGCGCAAAGGTCCGTGTACGCGTGTGTGAGGGCGCATGGAGGGCAGCGCAGGTGACAAGCGACAACAAGCGCAAGCCACACGCGAGAAAAAAAACAACACAGATCACAAGCGACGCGCCGCCCGTCCCTTCCAAGGCGCTTGGAAGGACACCTCACCTGCCGCAAGATCCAACTACGTGGGGCGAGAACAGCTGAAAGCGCGGTCGCCGCTGCCTGGCGCAGCTTACCTTGCCACATCCAAAAAATGCCCAAGCGCTCAATATTCCTGTTTACGCGCACGCTGCCAAGGAAGAAGCAGAAAGAACTTCATGATCCGCGCCCTCAAACCGGACCACGTCCACTCGGCAGAAGAAGGTGCGCGCGCGTGCCTCTGCCTGTGTGCTGTTGCAGTGCAGCTAGCGCAGACTTTTCGGCGCCTAGCTCACGTTCAAGCAGCGCGCCCGCAACACAAGACAGTCTGCATATTATTATAGCGGCCCGCCAAGGCAGTAGCTTGTGCACCCAACAAGTAGCCAAAGCATGGTTGGAACCTGGCAAAGGCAATTTGCCGCAACTGTCTGTGGGAAGCCAGGACGGGTGCGAAAGGCGCGGCTCACGGCAGACAGGCATGCAGATCCAGGGCATGCGTTGCGGGAGACGGACCTGCCTGACTTGCGTGGTCATGTAGGCAACCTCTTCCAGAACGTCTGAAGGACCCATCTCGCAAGCAGCGAGTACCTGGGCAGGCTTGGGCAACCTCTCATCGTGCGCCCGGCGGCAGAGGGCTTCTCCTGCAGAAACTGGCAGCAGTTTGACAACAGCGCAGAAGGCGCCAAGCCCAGTGCTCTGAGGCGGACCATAAGCGGATGTCTTATGGCTTATCTATTTGAGATGTGGATGTCTGGATCACTTGAGTTGCAGCTGGCCCTGGAGGCTACGGCGCGCCCATGAGCTTGCAGAGGCGGAAAAAAGTTGACACACCAGCAAGCAATGTGGGCGCCAGAAAACTTTGTGCGTAGAAGTGGGGAGCGGCGCCCGTCCCGCTTAAGCTGGCCTTCGCATCCTGTGCCAGAGTCCGGCGCGACGCTTCAGTCCGGAGGCCGGGCTATGGTCGCCCGAAGACATAGACGCGCGGCGCACACTGCGGCGGAGATTAAAGACGGCCTCTCCCAAGCGCTGACGCCAGGAGCTGATCTGTGGGCCGACCGCACGCTTTGGCGCGGCGCGTGTCGCAGACTTGCCATCTCGGCCCGCCAACACAGCAAACAAAGTGCCAGGAGGCGGATCAACCACGTAGTCAAATGACAGGGCAGTTGGGGTTTGACTCCTGTGGGGTGACCAATACCTTAACAGTAAGTCGTATAGTAGTGGTCGTGGTAAAAGGGGGTTGTAAGGTAAATGATCTGCGTCGTCTCACGGCTCGATGCGACCGCGGAATACGAACCCTTATGCTTTGCTTCACAGCTGTGTTTGGATGTTTGCCTCGATTCTATCATCAAGGTCTTGAGCCAAATGCATTCGCGTGTACATGTCGGCTGCACACCAAAGACAATCCCCCAAAAGGTTTAGGACCTTAAACAAGGGGAAGTAACAGGGTGACCCTCAGAACCTGCCCTTAGGATGTTTTGGCCTGCGGCTCGGAGATTCTTAGCATCCCCCATCCCGGGCTTGGGTTCATCCCTGGGTCGGGAACCAGTCACAAACGCATGCCGACACGCATGGACGCACGGCTTCTCTTTTTCAATTCAGTGAAACGTCTCTGCACGAGTTTGGCCAGGTTCTGTAAACTGAACATGAAATGAGAATGCTACAGGTCTTGGACCTCATGTGCAATGGTGCACATGCAGCAAGCTATCTATAAGGTACTTGTACAGATCCATAGCAGTCTGCAGAAAACGAATATCCATAACGAGCATAGTCCATCACCAATTTGTAACCAGTAATAATTGTAGCATCGTATGATCGTTGACCACCAAACACCTGGCATCTCCAGAATAGTAGTCGCCGATGACGATACTGTACGGAAACAAGAAAACATTTTGTGGTGATAATTGCAAGTCTCATGAAAAATACTTTTGGTTTGCCCAGTGTACTGTGCACGACGAGTACCACCAGGGCTGGCCATGATATCATTCACGATGAGTATCAGTTTTGTATATAACCGCAAATTCCAGTTGATCCCCCATGTAGAAGAAATCGTAGAGAAAAATGCTTGATCACCAGTGTGATGCTTCTGCGATGGCCTTTCTTCTCGCCCTCCACCGGAACCTTTCTAACAGAGAACCTGGTGTCTCCTCGGTCCGATTGATCTTCTCAATAAAGCGCGAGGGCAGATGTATATTGCGTGAATAGCACCATTGGATGAGAGGAGTGTTGACCTCTTTGACGCCTTGAATGCAAATGATGGCGCCAAGCTCAAGTTTCAAGAACTTGCGTCCAATGTTCAACATCTGTTCGGTAGAAGGTCATGTAATCGCAGTTGAGGCCGAGGGCGATGCAACGGAAAATTGTGTCGCTGACGAAGGCAATGTCCTTCTGATGGCTGACACCTCTGAACTGCTCTGCTTTAATACCAAGTAAATTGCAGGCTGTCCAAATCCGGTACATAATGTGTAGCCCTCTCAGCTTCAGGAACCAAAAGAACATTTCTTCGTCCCTGTGGTTTGCGCTTTTGAACCTCACATTCTTGAACTTAGGAGCGGCAGTGACCTCTTCATAGGTTGGCGGGATTGGAATATTCTGTTCATCAACATGTTTGAAAATCCAATCGTCCCTCCCGTTGATCGAGATGTAGGGACAGTATAGTCCGCCTTCTTTGCCAGGCTCCTTGATCACATCTGCGTCGTTGTTGGCGAACACCTTCCATACTTTGAAAAGTGCGACGCCAATGAATCCAGAGAGGTATGATGCCTCGCCGGCTTCGTCAACGCAGATGGCCTTGACTTGCAGGAGATGAATTGCGTCCGCATCCTCCTCTGGGTTGTCCGGACAAACTCCCGCATCTTCATCCGAATTGTGGTTGGAGAAAAAAAATTGGGGGAGCAAACCGTCGATGTCCGTCCCGATATCCGACGGGATGTACGATCTGCCTGCAGACCGTTCCTCACTCATCTCCTGGGTGTCAGGTCGTTCTTCCTCGGCGACGAATCGCTCAGCATCTTCTTTTGCTTCTCGCTGAGCTTGTTGCACTTCCTCCGTCACAGTGGCGGTGTCGGATGGTTTGGGCTCGTCGTCATCCACATGGGTCACGAACTTGCCGGTGGAAATGCACTCACATTCGCATGCCATGCAGTAGCAAAATCCCCTTGGGACAATGATAGCGCACGCTGGGCATACTCTGTTGGAAATGCTTGATGGGTCGTCCTCGCGGTAGACGATGCGTCTGCTGAGCAAATCCCGGATCTCTACCAACGATTTGTCCAAGGCTTCGGGCACCCCGATGTTGATGCACGCATCGACGGCCATCTTCTTCAAGATGTCGGCATCCGCTGAGTCTTCATCGTCCAGGAAACTGTTGAGGTTTCCAAGGAAGTCCGCCGGGGTCACGCCCGCAGCATCCTTGAACCCTGGACAGATCTCGCTCTCGACGGCGCGGGAGTAGATCCGCCTAACCTCTTTCACAGGTCCTTTCTTCGTGGACTTGACTTGAATCTCCAGATTGCCCTTATTTCTTTGAAGGGAATGGTCTCGAAGGCAACGATTGTTCCTCCCGATGCTGGTGCACGGACAACTTCCTTGTCGGCACGTAGATGGCGATGAGGTCATCTCCCTCTTTGACATTGTGCGTTGCAGTCTTGGTCGAGATGTTTTCGCTGTCCCAAGGTGCAAATACTCCAAGATGTACTGCCAGCCTTCGCGCACTGTCATAGCCGCC